AGAAAATAAATCTTTTAATGGGAAGAGTAGATACATTCTCTTGAGACATAATGTGACAAAGCAATTGCTTATAGATGAGAGTTTTTTATACATATTATCTGTAGTCAAAAGAGGATTTGACCGGTCCTTTGACTTATAAGTGAAACATCGAGTGGTTGAGACTTTTGCCAATTTGAGATGTATTAACAATGATGGTAACCCAACGTATGTGATTGGAGATCCCTTAAAGTAGGTTCATGTGGGTAATAACAAGTCATTAGTTGATCAAATATGCACCATTAAATTATGTCTCTTCCTATGGTGCGTGTGTATATAGTGCAAGACTGCAAGGAATGTGAGGTTGAGTTATTATACTCTTAATCCAATAATCCATAGCCTTTTGTAGGTGGTGTATTGCGCTGCCGAATACACTTGATGGATAGACCTATATGAGTGTGGAGTGGGACCGTTCCTATAAAAATTTTGGCAAAATTTCTAGAGCACTCATGAAAACCAGGCAGACGCATGGCCTTTTAGCGCAAAACCGCGAGAACGACAAAGATTGTGCGAGTATAATGTGATAAATAAGACGCTAGGCTTACAAAAGAATTTTCGGTTCATAGAAGTATTAAACTTCACCAATTATTCTGTAAGCTTAATCTTATTTTTCTAGGTCTGGTTCATAGTCTACGAGACATCAGATTCGATGCATTGTACTCAAATGTAGAAAATCCAGCAAAATATTCTATCCTTCTATTCCTTTTGAGATATGTTGGGGAATGTTAGAAAAATAGTGAATATGGTATCTCAAAGAAAGTGTCAAGAATCATATTTTCTGAAAGTGTCTAGACTCATTTTATCAACATTTAGTGTCTTTATTGTTTCATGCAATAATGAGTCATTATTCTATATTTGTAACCGTTGGACCATTACTCACCCATTATAACCACTTGATTCCATTCACCTATACATATACACATTTTTTATATACATTCTTTCTGGTGTGGTAGATACTAAGCTAGCGTTTGACCATAGATTCCCAAATTTATTTTGAAAAATTTGATTTGGGTGAAGTTGGTTTGAAGATGAAAATGTGCTTGGACATCAGTTTTGAAAACATATTTTCCACATTTATTTTGGAAAAATATGAAACATGACTTATACCCACAAGTTCTAAAAACTATCACAAATACCTAACAGTACCATTATCAATAACATTCATTATATTATCGCAAATCATATAAATAAATTTGGTACAAAATTATAATTTTTATAATGAAACTACATAATACACTATCAGATAACCGAGAAGAGAAAGCAACATTGTTACAAAATAATAAATGGCCAAAGGCTTGGCAACATATAAGAGGAAGGTGAATTAGGGTGTACATAAACTTTAGGTGAAAATAGTCCCTTGTTTTGAAACATATTTTTCGAAATAACTTCACATGCACCTAAAGAGACATACAAAAAGCAACAGGTTGTTCTTTATACTCAAACACACCATAATCAATTACAATTAGCACCATTCAGGTAATTCTAATAAAGTTAGACTCCGCAACCAGAAACATCTTCAAACGGAACAATATATAATTTCTGTCAACATATTGAAGAATTTTAGAGGTAAAAGAGAGAAAGTATAAGAAAAAAATGCAAACAGTGCTGGTGTTTTAGGATTGTCTGAACTTCTCGTTAACTTATATTCATCAATTAAAAGCTCTTTCTTTAGAATTTGGAACTTTCTTTCTTGACCTTTGCCAATCAAACTACTTTTACAGCCTTCTTCACCTCTCAGGAAGTTATTCACCTTCTTTTGCAGCCTTCAGAGGATATTTGCTCAACATTAATTACAATATTTTCACTCTATTAATGGAGGTTAGTTAAGTAACCAAATAGGTTTATCTCCCAAGAGATGGATATAGTATAGTTAATTAGTCATATAGCACTATACTCTTGAGACAGAAAATTTAAATAGCTTAACCAATTGAAAAGTTTGCTGTAATTCTCTCAAAAATGTTTTTAAACCTTTCTCAAAAACGTCCCTTTTTCAAATGAATGAAAACGTGCTCAACAGGGAACTTATAAAAGGCTTAGTATCAACTAATTAAAATACTTTGGCGTCCTTTGGTAGGAGTTTTAGAAGAACAATGCAAGCATTAATTTGTTATTCCCTTGTTTGGTATTAGTTATACAAGCTATTTGGTATAGCAAATCATGGTATTAGCAATGCAAGGGTTTTTAATAGGAATTTTTACCTCATATAGCAAAGGTTAACACATTATTTATTTTAAATAAATACCATTTAAAAAAATTATATTCTATAGATTCCTTTAAATGTTTATAGCAAAATATCTAATTTTGGTTAACTCCTACCCCTAAGCCACTAAATACGTTATTCAGTTACGCTATTTTATTTCTCTCTACTTTGATACATGTCATTCTCTTCCCCATTCCCTAAAAACACGATGCTCAATCTCAAAATTACTCTCACCCACATCACCTACGTTCTCTCTGATCCCAATTTCTCCAATTCCATCGGATGTTGCTTTCTCTTAAATTTTTTAATGTATACCCGATTTGAGCAAACTTCAGACACTACTTCCACTTCCTTCTTCTTCTCTTTTTCTTATTTTCTTTCTTCTCCCTTCTTCTTTGTTGCTGTTTGAAAGCTATAGGTATGTTAATATTAGAGAAAGAAGAAACTAAGTGTTTGGATTCTGATAATGTGAATTGTGGGATTTGTTTTGAGGAATATACTTTTTTTCCAATCGGCGCGCACAACACAGGGGTTTTTGCTCGACTGCGGATTCGCCGGAAATTAGGGTTTGTTCTTGAACAAAGACGACGGAGTTTGGGATGAGTAACTTGATTTTCTGTTAATATATTTCAATGTATTTTTAGCGTATCATGTTGTATTTTCATGTATTTTATTGTATTCATTGTCTTTATTTTCATTGTAATTCGATGTATCTCGCCGTATTCCATGTATTTCATTGTATTCACTGTCTTTTTTTTTTTTTAATTTCAATATATCCCGCTGTATTCTATGTATTTCATTGTATTCACTGTCTCGCTATATGCCATCAATGTATTCATATATTTTTTTTAATTAATATAATTTATGTATTCAGATGTATTATATAATTTCTCTGAAGATTGCTATATTTTTGGGGTATTTTTCCGTTGAGAATTTTTGTTATAACTGGAGATACAATTTTTGTGTGTTATACTTGAGTTTGTTGGGTTATATTAGGAGTCTATTATGTTAATTGATTCACTTTTCGTTTAAAAATAGTATAATCCCCTGTTTCATGCCGTGAATACATTCGAATACAATAATCTGTCCAACTGTAGTCCCATGTTTCATGCCATGAATGCAGTCGAATACACTCGAATACAACAACTGATTAGCTGGACTTCCCTGATTCACGCCTATTTTTGCTATTGTATTCATGAATACAGTAGCTTAAATACATCTAATACATCCTATAACAACAGAAAACGTATCTACAATCCGTAATATAGCAAATGGTATCTATAGATAGTGCTTTATGAAAATTTCTCTTTTTAATACTTGCATAAATATGGTTAAAGACATAATTTCCCCTCAAATCTCTCAAAACCTAATTCCAAATGCTCCATATTTTGTATATTTTTTATTGTGATATTTTAGTTAATTTTTTTCCTTTAGTATTCTACTATAATCAAAATAATATCATATTTAATACTAAATTTGATTATGAAGTCGCTCAAAGTATAAACTAAAGTTTTCTTTATTTGATAAAAATCCATCCATTTTTTTCAAAAATGAAGTTTTTCATATTTTGTATTATAAGTCATAGCAATTAAGTTTTTCTTCTCTTTTAACTTTAATATTTCAATTAGTTTTCTTTTGTAATTTTGCTCCCCTGTAAAAAAAAAAAAAAAAAAAAAAAAAAGAAAGAATTGGCTTTAGAGAGATCAAGAATGTGGAGGGCAATAAACCTATTGCAATAAAAGTAGTGTACAAAATTAAAGAATGTGGAGGGTATTTTTGTAAATAACCAATTTTTTAAGAAATTATGCAGTGTTTTAATACACCAAACCAAACAGTGGATATGAAATAATCTCAGCATAACTAATTCCAACATTATTAATACACCATATTCAACATTACTCTTTAAGTCTTATACCTCCTATCAAACGACCCCGCAAGGAAATAGCACTTAACATGAGGAGATACGTTCATAGATAATGTTAGGCAGCCGTTTGATAAAATAAAAACCTGAAATTTCAATCAACTATACTTTGCAGATACTATCTGGATTTTGCCTTCATTTTTTCTATATTTTTTTTACGATTTTTTTCTGTAGTTAGTAGTATATACTCCCTTCGTTCACTTTTACTTGACACGTTTTGACTTTTCACGCCTCTTAAGAAATAATAAATGAAGTGCATAATTTACCATGATACCCATATTAATTGATGCATATTTTATTAGATTTGAGGAAATGATTTGAAATGAGTAATAAATACTGTGGGTATAACAGGAAAAAAAAATGTGTCTTCTCTTGATATGCGTAAAGCAACAAGTAAAAATGAAAATCTATTTTTAGTAAGAGTGAACAGAGGGAGTAATTATTTTGATTGAAAGCTCATGTAGCTTTTGGTTCATTTCTCCTAGAAGCCAGTTAATGCTTACTACCCTGACAAAGTTTAGTTCCAAAGTTCAAGAAGAAAATAGGAGAGCCGCCTCGTTATACACAGAACCTCTTTGTTAACAACCATTCCTTGAGCTTTCACAAAAACAAATAAATGAAAAAGCTTGATGCCATAGCCTTGCTACATGATTGATTGCCTGCAATGTTCTTTCCAGCTTTAACTCACATTCTTCCATTCTCAATTTACCTTTGTGATTTTCCAATCAGATCAAAACTAATCAGCTTCTGTAGCCTTTCTATTTGTAAAGAGTCTCTTGAACAAAATGCCATACCACATCTGTTGAAGAGTTGTATTTGCCAACACAATAGACACGCTAAATATTTCAAAAAAGTATAATCATGATAAACGTACTTGCTCCCATATCATTTCCACATTGCCAAAGTTAACACATATATAAACAAATTATAGTTACAACTACAGCTATCAGGATGAAAAAGCCAATGAAACAAAAAATCCCTTCTCCCCTTTGATAAATTCACTGCTTCCAAAATGTAAACTAACCGGAAATATCAAAATGAAGAACAAGTCTATCTTAGTATTAAGTTCGAGAATGTCCAGTGGACGGCACAAGCACAGCTTCATTACTTGTAGAATTTTTGGCAGCAACATCTTCCAATCGTTTCCATGTAGCTTCACGTCTTGATTTAATCTCATCTTCCTTCAATTCGTCTTCCTGAAACTTGTGCAAGCACTCCTTGAATAGCTCAGGATCAAGATCATAGAATATCTTCCGAATATTCAGTGACAAACTGTGAACAGCCTGATTCCAATGGTTTCTGCCATTTCTCTCCAGTGCAGGAAAGATGATAGGCAGTATCACCTTTCGATTTTGCTTTATCAAATTCTCAATGTGATCGTTGTTCCACAAAAACAAAGCCCTTTCTGCCACCTATAGTCAACACAAACACTAACTCTTCTGAATCGGCAAATTTGAAAATTAATCAGAGCAAAGCAAAAGTATTCAGAATGCTTGTATTCAAATATGTCCACTAACTCATTGTGGAAAACATCAAATAACTGATTTTTCTCAAGAGTCCTTAAACGTTCATCTATATTAAAAAACCAAAATAAATATAAAGGAACTTCTATATACAGCAATCTTTAGTTTTACAACATAGCAATTAGTCATACGATGTTAAGAATCAATAATTGAAAAATAAAATTAAAAAAATTAAGAGGATGAGGAGAAGAAGATAAAACAGAAGAAGAATTAGAAAAGGAAATTGCACTTTCGCTCCCTCAATTTACACAATGTTCCAATCCTGACGTTCTGAATCCTACTAAGCATATTTAAGTTTCGATTAACTGACACATAATCTTTTGGTCGGTTAGTAGAGGGACCAAAAGGTGAGCTAGCTCTAAGCAACGCGTTATCAAAACATAAAGCAACATGCATCAACATGCAGCTAAACTGCCTGGCTTCAGTTCCACTTTAATGAAAAGTCTATCATTCTTTTGTAACACAGCACTAATATTACTCAAGCATAGACAAAGATTTGTACGTCCCCACGACAGCATGGCTTTCTCAAAGTAACTTACACAAGGTATGTTTTTATTTCTACCAAGAATTTTTACATGAGGTACATTGTCATGAATTTATCGAAGCTTCAATTGAAAATAAACCTACTTTTGCAATATCTCCATTTAATTATCATAATCAATGTTCTCTGCAATACAATAATCCACTCTGTATCCACTCCGTACATCACTTCAAATGCTCCCCAAGTTAGCCACAGTAATACTGTACATTGAGCTCGCTATTTGCGTGCACCTAGACTATTCCACCGGGTACTTGCCACCTCCTACTAACACAGGTACCTAGTTACTCTACTGACCAAGGCTTAAGTAGATGGGGTTTAACAATGGTTTCCACGGTTTGCACCCACTTCATTGACCATCAGGCCACACATTTTGGTGCCCCAAGTTGTAGCCACATAATCTGAATTAAATCTTCTTCCTTTTGTTATCTAGAGGAACTATATCTTCTTTGCTATAAGTAAAATTTGTATTATTAATTGAATGAAGTATTATTTACTTTATTGATAAATTTGTACACCCCTTTAACAGAGTAATTTACCCAAATTAAGCCTGACCCAACATTATTCTCTCCTCCTTTTGGCTTCCATTGCTACCACTCCAATCATCAGACTTCCACAAAGAATTTCCAACAAAAAGAGGTTCAGTACACATCTTACACCCTCTTCTTCCAGTCAATTCTGATGCTGCTACTCCTATTCTAGCTTATCTGTATAACTGCCCTCAGATTGAAGGCATTAAATGAAAGAAAATAGAATTTTGAAAATGCTTTGTCTCACTAGTCTATGCACAACAGGCACCTGAACAGTGTAGAGTGATAGTATTCAAGAGAAATAAGTCATGTTTATGACTTGTACAGCATATTTGTTTTCAAACTTTTTCCCATTACCACTCTCACATGAATTAGGGATGAAGCACAAAAGTCATCTCTGTTGGACATTAAGTGTACCATGATCAAAGATCCTAGCGGACCATGCTTCTGCAAGATTAAGTGAATAGAGGTTTTCATGAACAGGTGATAAAAAATTCATCTAATTCTTTTCCAAGCAATATTACTGTGTTTGGTTATTATACAATCAATACTGCACACGGATTACTGTGTGGAAATAAAAATATTCATCGATCACAAGTCCAAATACCTTCTGAAAACTAAATGCTACCTTTTGCTACTATTGGCTAATTTGTATTGGATAGATCTGAGCTATCTATTATTTTACTTTGTCCTCATATCAACAACAACAACAACAAACCCTGTATGTTCCCAACAGGTGGGCTCTGGGGAGGGTAGTCTAGTATGTGTGCAGACCTTACCCCTACATTGTCCTCATATCACATTACAGAATAGGCAATACAACCATATCTACAAAGTGTGGTGGCTGGCAGGGTTTAGCTCAATTTGCAAAGGTTGAGGGACTTGTATCTTAAGTCAAAGGTTTGAGGCCCGTGCTAAGAGAACTAACTCTTGTATTTAAGTGGAGAAGGGTATAGGGGCGGGCCCATCATCCCCGAATTTAGAAGGCTGCGGGTGGCCCAAAAGGTCAACTCCAGATAGATTTCTCAATCATAAAAAAAGAATATGGTGAAGTGAAACGATGGTAAGATGCATTGCATAATAGGAGTGCATAGAAAGATAACATACTTCAAGCCAGATCAGACAACCAGAAGAACTAATCAGAAATTTTTCCACGGAGAATAACGCAGAACTTGAAGAAATATACTGTATATTGTTTTGCTTATCCCGAAAAAGAAAAAAAAAGAAAGAAAAGGGGGACTAGAGGAAAGTAGCATGTATCCTGCGTTTTAAAGGTACAGCATTTCACAGATCATCTATCATTAAAGAGAGAGACTACCATGCATGGAAGAAAAACATCCTCAGCACTAAAAACGGCTAGCACAACCAAAAGGGGCTAACTTTTTCAATCTAATAAAAATGTCTTACAGTGAAAATCCAAAGATCCGATATCAGTATCATGCTATTGCCAACATTTTTTTTTTTTTTTGGGGCGAGAGAAAGGTAACTGCAATATAAAGATAGCACTAAGTGCTGTAGTACAAGTGAGCAAAAAACCAAAAGAAAAAATACTTTCCAGTCTTACAGGGATTCTAAGAGGCTAAGTATGGAAGCTGTTGTACAACTTTAACCTCAATGCATAAATGGTTGCACATTGAACAGATGGAAATGATGGACATGAAGACATGCGTCATTCTGCATGCAGCAGTAGCAGTGGCAAAGAAGAATTCTCTAGGATTCGTTACAGTTTTACATGTGCGGAAAAATCACGCGGCAGTAAATGGTGCGTCCAATATATGTGGTTTCAATATTTTGAAATCTTTAATCGTCATCGATCATCTTTTATGGGAATGATCAGGTTCCTTTTTCAATAAGTCCTTCATGAGCAAAAGTAAAATCCACCATCATCAGTGAATAAAAAGGCTTATGACACATAAAAGTACAACTCATCTCAGCACAAGATAGAAACAAGGGGAAAAATTCTCTGCCAATTAACAGGAATTGGGATGAAAAAGGGGGCACAAGCTCAACTTTTCCTGCCCATTTTCTCTTTGTTGTTGATTTTTTTTTTCTCTATTCAAAGAATCATGAGTTGAGCTTAATTGAAGCAGCCAGGATTCATATAGCTGATCCCAACTTGTTTGGGACTGAGGCGTAGTTGCTGTTATTTAAAGAATCAGAACTATATTTCATTTTTTATACTTCATCTTACTAGTTCTATTGCAGAGCGAACTACCAGCATTTCAGATCAATTTTTATGCTTAAGTTAGTTTTTTCTTATAAATTTTCATGAAAGTAATGTATTACTACAGAAGATGCTGAATACAGTACATCCTGATCAAGAGTCTTTGAAGCTCCTGTACATCGGCATCTGGTTTTTATGCTAAAGTTAGTTATCAAATTATCATCACTCAACAAAGCAATATAAGGTGGAAACTTTTGAAATTTTTGTGTTTTTAGTTGTTCAACAACTATAGTATTCGCTTACCATTTTACAGTATAAACATCCGCCTATCACGTCAGCAGTACAGAATAACAGAAAACTACTTTAGACAATTATATTCATCTTCCCATGATGGAACTAAACTACATTATAAGATTTGAATTACCAAGCTAGGGTACCACGAATAGGCAGATAATCAACTAAAATAAACTCACCACCACTCCATCTCAAACTCATATAGTAGCAGCTCCATAACAGCCCCTGACAAATACTAAATTTATTGCTTAATTTACATAATATTCAAGAAACCAGTCACTACAGAATAAGAGCTTCATTTACCATAACAAACAAATCCACCTCTGCATTAATCGTGACTTATATACAGACACCACAAGACATGCTGCACATTCACCATTGGAAATTACTAACAAAACTATGGCTATAACAACAGTGTGCACTCAAACAATCACAGAATATAAATGCTGCTTCATCCAAAGAGGGCGGGGGGATGGTAGTCCAGATCATCTCAACCCATCAGAAGAAAACGCGCTTTGGCAAGAAAAGAAAAGAAGAAACCGGGAGAGAAGTATTGCAGGTCAGTTAAATTTTTCTTAGTTTCAATCATTTTCCATTTCTCCATTTCCGCCAGACAACACATGACCAGTGCAAGCTAGGAAACATAAACATACTGCACGCCACGTCAATCCACAAAGTATATATTAAAACCAATGTTGCCTACAGAGATAAGAAAATAGTGCTGTTCTACGATACATATATTACATGCATGTACTGGCATGCTTGATAAATAGAAGACGCATATCCAAAATTCCAAATACAACGGACACATACCTGAAAATGCAAACTAGTCAAGCAATGAGCAATTCGACGAAACAATGGCACCATACACCTTTGGAAATCTGGTGGCTGAGTAGCTTCCAAGATTTCCTCCAACTCACCAAGGAACATGACTTCCTTTGAGCTATTTGTTACTGGCCAATACTTTAACAATCCCCTAATAACTGTATCAGCAAGCTTGCAGTCTTTCTCCACAAACTGTGTCATACAATAAGTTAACTGTTGATGGTACATGGCTAAGCATTTGGGTTTATGCAGGGGGATCAGCGTCCGCACAAGAAAAAGCTTGTGTTCTTCTTTTAGTGGCAAAGCAAACCCATTGATTATGCTGCCCAGAATTTCCAGAAGCTCTGCAATCCCATTATGCTTTTCAGTCTCAAAAACGAAATGGTAAAATATGTTATTAATAGCCTTCCTAATATAAGGTCGGTGTACCATGAACTTCCCATAGACACGGTGCAGTATTATTTTCAAGTACTCCCTCTCTCTAGGGTCCTCAGAGTCAAAAAGATCAAGCAATCTGAGAACAAAGGAATGATCTACATATCTTTTAGCAATTTTTGCATCAGTTTCCGGTGATGCAACAAATCTTAGAAGAAACTCATACACAATCTGCAGATGTGGCCATGCAGGATCCATTGCAGGCTCATCCTCTTCCACATCAAAGGCCAACGCCTTGTTCTCCCGAGGCTGAGGCATGAGTTCCCTAAACAAATTTGTAGACACCATTTTTACTACTTCTTGCATCACCACTTCTGTAAATTTTACATTTGCAGAAGTCACGTACTCCACGAGCTCCAGCAATGTCTGTCGCTTGATCTCCTTTTCTTTAAGGTTCTTTGTAGGATCAGTGAAGTCAAACAAAACACAACACATGCTGACCTTCCTAATAAACAAGTTCTGCTTCTCAGAATTGGGAACATCCCTAAAATTTGGCAATGCATCATAAGAAGCTACAACCAGATTCCCATTCACCTTAAAACTCCCATCTCGAACAAACTTATCCCCCATTCCATATCCTGAAGCTGAAACAGAATAAGGGGCTGAAATAACAGTACTGGCTGATACTCCAACTTTTTTATTTCCTCCATCACTTTTCTTTGAACTGCTAGTTGAAGAACTTGAACTAGAAGTACCAGCTGTCTTTGACTGCTTCTTAGAGTTCTTTTTACCAAATATCTTGATCATATTTCTCTTCAATTTGAAACTTTATATAAATAACAAGTAAATACTCAACAGAAAGATCAACCAAAACTGAGTAAAGTCATCAAACCAAAGTAAAATCTTCCACCTCAGCTGAAACCCTCATACCACAAGCTCAGCTTTTCAAAAGGGTCCGCACAAAATGATGAAATTACTTCATCAAATAATTCAAGAAATTATTCAGTTACCTACCACCTTCAAGAAAGGGGCTAAAAGGACACTTTTCTCAACCACAAGAAACAGAGGCCTCAATAAATTCAAATAATGAAGAACTAAAATATTGAAAACTATTCAGAAGTACAGATCAAGAATTGAGGAATACCTGAATCAACTCAGAGAAATAAACCCAGTTCCTCAAAATTCAACAACTTTTGCAAAAACCCATGTGTAAAGTTTGAGCCTTTTGACTTAAAAACCCAGATGTATACATGTGTAAAGTCACTGGAAACAGAAAATTATATCAATAAAAACCTTCAGTATTAAATTCAAGAAAACCCCACCTTTTTCAACTTTGCTCTTCCACTAAACAACCATACCAAATGGGGTTTACAAAATAAAGTATATCCCCACACACGCTCTCTTCACTTTTTCAATAATCCCCAAACACAAAAGATTAAACTTTTAATGAAAACTGAAACCCAAAAGAAAAAGAAGTGTTTTTTTTCTTTCTTTTTCTTTGTCACAGTTCAGACACTGGGAAATGGAGCAATTATGGAGATGAATTTGGTGAATCAATTTTGGGGTTCTTGGATTTTTATTTTTTTATTTGTTATTTTTGGTGTTGATTGTTGACTGGGTAAATTATTCTTGGAATTGTATTTGTTTAGCGTGTGCATTCTGACTCGGACCAAACGACCAAAACCCCCAGTCTAATATCCTCTAATTCTCTGTACTTTCTTAATTGGTAATTTGGTACAAGTCAAATGCCCAAACCGGACGGAATATGTTATGATTATTGAGATGTTTAAAATTTTTGCTAATTTACAAAAAGAAAAATTAAGCAGAAAACAATCATAATAACCCTTTTGCTATATATATAAGTCCAAGTTAAACAAAGCTATCTACTATGCAAGCCCACCTCTTTTTGTTGAACCCTATATAGTGAAAGATATGAAAGGGCACACTACTTTCGTTAAGTACCTTGTTGAAAAAGCTGTAATATCTTAGCTAGTTTGGGTAATTTTAATGTCCTAGATGATTAAGAAAAATCTATTGTTTTAACACTAAGAAAAAAAAAACCTAGAAAAGAAGAAGAGTCATTAAGACAAGAGCAGCGGCGGATCCTGGATTCCGAGCAAGGGGTTCAATATTATAAAAAAGTGAACAGTAAAAATTTCATCGAATGAGTTCGTCGAAATTTGTTGAATCCAAATGTAAAGTCAAACGGGTTCATAAAAAAATTTATATCTAAATAGGAATTAAATTATCATCGAAACTCATGTTAACTATATGTTAGATTAAAACTAATACATTAGTTTGTTTTGAAGTAATTGTTTTTGCATAAAAAAATACTAGTAAAAAAGGGCATTCTAAGGAAGAAAAGGCAAAAAAAATATCATGTATAATAGATGATTAACAAAAAAATGAGCAAAAGATAATTGCAAAAATAACTATGTTAATAATTCAATAAGACAAGAAGTTGAAAGCAAACATTAGGAGTCTTAGAGCTTGTTTGGCCAAACTTCTTGGAAGAAAAAAGTACTTTTAAAAAAAAAATTGAGATGTTTGGCCAAAATAAAAAAGTATTTTTGATCAGAAGCAGAAACAATGTTTCTGCTTTTGGCAAGAAGTTACAAATTCTAGCTTCTTCCGAGAAGCGGAATTAGAAGCAGAAAGTTAATTTATTAATAAAAACATCCTTACATTGAATTTAAATTTTTTAAATTATCCCTCATTAATTTAACATTTTTATTTTATTTTTCTCTTTTTACCATACATTTCTTCTCTTTTTTATTCTATTGTATTTTTATTCTCCTTCCCTTATTTCTTCCTGGAATATTCTCTCTATTATAAATAGTTCTCTTATTTTATATAATGATTTATAACAATATATTTTTAATTTATATTAAGCGATGTATGTTGATATATTAAATTATCATGTAAACAATAAGTAATACTAGATGACTCAATATTACGGTTTGAAATAACTATACTTCATATTGATTAAAAAATTTAAATTATATTTTTATTATAATAAATATTTAAATTTATTTATCTCTTTAAATAATACTAATTGCAAACTAAACCTGTATATTCCTTTTTCGTAATTTGATACACCTTTTGTGTAATGTATTGTTCAAGTAGTAGAAAGAAAAAATAATTGCAATATGTAGGAAGTAGGGATCGAACTTGAGCGCTTAAAGAAAATTTGAGCCCCCTTGATCACTAAGCTAAGTTTTAAGCTTCGGACAAGGGGATGCTAGATTTAATATATATGAATAAAAATCAAATTTAACCCTATATAGAAAACGTAATTTTTCGACCTAGGGGGTTCGGATGAAGACCCTTACGCCCCCTAAATCCACCCTGAACAAGAGAGCTACAGGCATGGGCGGATCCACGTTGGTCATTATGGGTGCTCAAGCAGCCATTGCTTTGGACGCGGAACTTGTAGAATTACATTGAAAAATTGATACAGTAATATATTAGATTGTGAGCACTCAGGAACCAAAAGTTTAACTGGGTGCTGTGGTTATTGGGGTTGGTAAACTGCGGCCATTGCCCTTAGCGTCAGATCGAATCCTGCTATATGCTTCTCTTTCCTTGTTCGTTGTTTGCTTTCTTTCTTTTACTTTCTTTATTCCATTTTCATTTTGCTCCCAATATCAGGCCATTCAGCTCCTCTTCTATTTATTTATTTGCTTCCTTTTCTTATTTTCCTGTTTTCAATTTTATCTTTGTTCTGCTCCCCAACTAAGAAAGCATTTTCTGTTTCTTCTTTTTCCCTTTTAGTTCCTCTTTTTCATTTTGCTTTCTTCTCCCCATATTTACTTCCCAAAACTCCTCAAATTCATTTTACTTATATTTGATTTTTGTAGCAATTTGGTGTTAATAGAGATGATCTAGGAGTAAAATTTGATGTTTAGTTTTTAATTTTTTACCCCTATACTTCTAAAACTATGGGTTAAAAGTTTTATATATATTGAGATTTTGATGATCTTTTACGCATATATTCATGCTCTGTGCTAAAAACTTGAGTATAGTTGAACCCATTGATTATACATTCTATATGCCTACTTGACAAAATATAGTGGATCACCCATTACCTCAAAATCCTAGATCAGCCACCGGCTACAAGCAAGCAGGCAAGAAAGATTGGTGCAAAAATACGATGCAAGGGACTCTCCATCTCTAGGAAGATTGTGTCCATGATCTGGGATTCAAATTCCCCTGGGGGGTATGGGTACTATGAAAGGAAGTTGATCACGAAGAGAAGGGCCTTTGTCTAGTTCAGTTTCACCATTAAGATCTCCTAGTAGAATCGAACGGTAACAGAATTATTCTAATAGTTTCGAAGGTTTTAGGCCTGCAGCTTTTCCCTTCCTCCCTTCGTCAGACGGTGCTTGTGTGGAGGGTGCGCCACCTAAAATCGAGCTTGAAGCTCTAACCTTACCAACAAGCCGAGAGTTAATGGTTATTGGTCACGACTACTATCAAAAAGCTCCTACAAAGATGAATATTTCACATGGAGGAGAGTGCATCTTTATGTTGGGTGAGCTAAGCTTGCTGATGGCTCTACTACTCTCATTGTTGGGAGTGGTACTATGAAAAAAAAACCATCTTGTCCTTACTCTTGAATTCTCTTTTATATGTTCTGTCTTTTAATCTCGTCTGTCAGCTCCTTAATAAATTTACAAACTGCATATAGTCACTCCGGACATTAAGATTATCCAAACAGACTAAGATTACAGTCTTTTTTCAGCTAGGTACTTAACGAAAGTAGTGTGCCCTTCCATTCTTTCATTACGTAGGGTTCAAAAAAAAAGATGGGCTTGCATAGTAGATAGCCTTGTTTAACTTGGACTTGCTGCAGGAAGCTTCCTTTGCGAGGTGATGTGCGATTTTATTTTCTTGATGGAAGTTACGTCTCATTACCAGTCCCATCCCCTGGTGCATTAGTAACCTGCAAATAAACTTTAGACTCATAAATATGATTTTTATTATTCAATAATTTAACGACCCCGTGGAGTCCGTTTTAATTTCCAGTGAATAAAGATGCAATTTCTTTGCTAGTTGAAGTCCCTCCTGTAATGCAAAATGTTCTACTTGAATGGAGTCTTGAAAAGAAATCCAACAACGCAGTTTCCATTGTCATTTCTAAATATTCCATTTAATCTGCTTTGAAGATCTTCTTATTTGAAAGCAGCATCAACATTTAGTTTAAACCAACAGTTGGTTTATGCCATTTTATGTTGATTTTTTTTTTTTTTTTTTTGCACAACCAGTTGACTCTTTTTCAGTAAAAGAATTGTGTTCCCATGCGTGATGAGTAACGACAGCAAGAGACACGGTTTGACAAGTATTATTATGAGTATTCCTATTTTTATTTATCCAAAGATTCCATAATACAAATGGAAAGACTTCATGCCAAGAAATGGAGTTTGCGCCAATGCTAAAATTTAGGTATCTTAGTTGAAGAATTCAGTAAGTAGAAGGGGGACTAATGATGTATATACCCATGCTTACCCAAAATTATTGGGCAATAGGGCATTTTATAAAAATGTGAATAATAGTTTCATCTGCAACCTTATACAGCAGACATATACTATCAATATTTAATACCAATAAGAGCTAGGTAGTATCTACATGACAGTCTTTTATGTTGGCATTGTCATAGTAGGAATTTAATTTTGTTGGGACAATTCAGAATCCAAATCGAAGAGAAGTCTTTTCTATTGGTTGTGGAGAGTTGATGATATCATAGCAAAACTTAGCAGTAAACATGCCACTGTAATTTACAGACCAAATTAGAATATCCACTAGATGGGGTTAGATCTAACTGATAATGAGATTGTTATTGTAACAATCCGACGGGTCGTTTTGAGCTTTAGCATTTCATTCGGTGGTTTGAAACTTTGAGTAGCTTCTTATAATGTATTATAACTTGCATTTATGGTTGGTTTTGATTTTCGAGTGGTTCGGAATTGATTTAAAAGAATGACTCTCGATTTGAAAGCTTTAAGTTGGAAGAGTTGATCAAGATTTGACTTTTGGGTAAACGGATTCGAATAAGGTTTTGATTGTTCCGATAGGTTCGTATGATGATTTGGACTTGTTTGTATGTTCGGATTTTGTTTTAGAGGCTCCTAGAAGAATTCAACACTATTTGTCGTAAGTTGTCCATTTGAAGAGCTTAAGAGGTTATAAGTTTGACCAAGAGTTGACTTTGATGTTATTGGACTCTAATTGGCGGAGACTTTGGATAGGTCTATATAGTTGAATTGAACTTATGTGCACATTTTGGAAGTAATCCGAAGTGTGTAAGTGTGATTCAGACACTCTTTTGAAGGAAGATATTTAACAACTTAAGAGAAATTCTATTAGGTTTGAGCATCGATTCTTCGTTGTGATGTTCACGGCAGGTATTTTGAGCCTTTGGATAAGTTTGGATAATGTATGTGTACTTGTTGGTATGATTGGACGGGTTCCCGAGGGGCTCGAGTGTGTTTTGGATCATTGGTTGAGAGACTAGTTAAGTTAAGAATTTAGAGTTTGACCACGGTCAATATCGGGTCAAGAGGACCTCTTTTCGGTGTTTTGAATGCGCGAGCTGGTTCGTAGCATATTTTATCATTGAAATGCATATATGGTTTGTATTCGGGAGGTTCCGAATGAGTTTTGGGTGCTAAAAGGAAGATTTTGTGATTGCTG